TATCTGATACTTAACCAGCCTGTTTGTGAATATCTGTTTAATCCCTTAACTATGTGATCATGTTGGTTATTTGATGTATGTGATTGACCCTGCCTGTATATTTAATCCTGTTCAGGACATGTCCTGCTTTCCATATTACATCTGTGATCTATGTCTTAACTGTTAGTCCATGACTAACCTGCTAAGTCTCTAAGACCCTAAGTGTTTTATGCAGTTGTTGTCTGTATGTTTCCTATATACCTTATCCATGTACCCCTAAATGTGACTCTTATGTGTCCCCAATCCCTTTATACCTGTGTGAGATCTGTTTGTTGAGAGTTTCTGAATCTAGATGTTTTATGGCCAATAGTTTGCCATTTTTTTTTCCAAAAAAAAATGTTCTGGTGCTCTTCTCAAACTATTTTTCACTACCAAACTAGTTTCTATTTCAGAAAACCTTTCACTCTTAGAGTCATCTCTATACTGTTTTCACTAAATCTTTCAAACTGTGTCAAGCACTCTCACTTTACTCTTAGATTATTAAGTTTTGCCCTCTGGTATGTGTACTGCTTAGGGATCCTTGAGATCTCTCTGAAATCTGGCATACTAGGGCTGGCCCTTCCACACTGCACATAATCAATACCCATTTGAGAATTGGTCTTGGTGTGAGCACTGCCCGGGATCCTTGAGATCCTTAGGAAACTCTGACACACATGGACATTCATTGGCTATGAGGTTCTTGGCATTTGAGACTACACTGAAGGCCTGGTACTCCCAGGTTTATTTTTGGGCCTGCATCAGGCTCCCGATAGTCTAATTTATATTTTCATTTATGTGATTTATGCAATCCTGGTCTGTAATAATTTTTTGTAAACGGATATTGGGGTAACTAGTGAAAAAGGGAGGGTAGCTATATGATTCTGTGGGGTAAATTGGGTAGAAATCATGCTTTTGGTTTTAAATTATGATGAGTTGCTATGACGCATTAGATATCATGCTTTAGGATTGCTATTCTTACTTGCATTAAATCATGCAAAATTCGTGCATTAGATATCTTGACTTAGGACAATCATATTTACTGCTTCTGCATATCACATGTTATAGTTCATCATTTCACTTCTGATTCTTCATAAGTCGCTATCACTTAGAAATCCTGCCATTAGGTTACTAATACTGTTTTAAATAAAATAACCTTCTCCATGTGCATTAGAGATCCTGTTTTAGGACTGCATGTATATCTGCTTTGAAACATGTCGCTAAAATAAGTAGGTTAAAACAGCCCCCACACATAAGTACCATGTTCTGGTATGAATCAGTATAAAATCACCTGCTATATATTCATCACTTAGATTAGCATGCCTATAGGATGAAAGAACTTCAAATTGTTTACCTGGTTCCCAGATTATGACTGCATATACACGCCTAGGCAAGCCTTAGGCCGTTAGATAACTGTGAAATCAGGTTCTGTTTATGTGTGAAATTGTCCAGGATTAACAGGCTATAAAACCAGTAGGCAAACTGGTTAGGATTCTGCCACTTCCCTTAGAACAAACGCTGCATGTTCTGTTCTGTAATGTTCATCTAGATATTATGTTCCTAGGTTTTCTGAATTTCTTTAAAATCAGTTGTTTGAGATGTGCTGCTTATTTGCCTATGTATATGTGGAGGTAAATATGATCCTTTTATCTGCTTCCTTAATTGACAGTCCTATGTGTTATTTGTTGTCGCCTAGACTTTTTCCTTTTAAACACCTTAGGATTGTCTAGAACTACCTAAGTCTAGAGGTCCTAAACTCCACCGGGACCGCAAGGAAGGGACGGGTAAAGCACGCTTAGAGTTCGTTATTTAAACTCGCTTATAACCACTAAGGGGAGGGTAATGGGTAGTAAAGAATATGATGATCTGCGCGCTAATGTCACGTGTAGCCCCTCTAGTTGAGGAGGATTACCGGGCATTGCAAAGATTGATTGTAACGACCAGGTCGTTCGCTCTGAGAGTTATAGCCCCGTTTCCCCCATCTATGCTTATTGATGTGTTGTTCAGCTGTGTTGAGTTGTATCGAGTTGGTAGGTTTGGGTTCGGAGTAGTTTTGGAGTGAAATGAACACTTAGTCTCTTAGTTAGAAAGCTAAGTTAGAAAAGTCAACCGAAAGTTGACTAATGAGTAAACGAATTCTGATTTTGCTTTTGATGATTCGACTAGCTTCGTTGGGTGATTATAGACTTAGGAGTGTGTCCGGAATATAATTTGGAGGTCCGTGGTAGAATTAGGCTTGAATTGGCAAAAGTTGGAAGTTTAGAAGTTCTTAGGCTTGAATTCGAGGTTGATTTGGTGTTGTTTTGGGTGTTGCGAAGGTTCGACTAAGTTCGGGTAGTGATATATGACTTGTTGGAATTATTGCTTGAGGTCCCGAGGGCCTCAGGTGAGTTTTGAATAGGTTTGGGTTGTGTTGCGCTCGTTTTTCTTATGTTTCGACGTCGTTTCTTCAAGCATAAATGATATCATATTGAAAAAATGAGCTCCTATTTCTTTTTTTGATTGAAGCATTAGATCCTTATCGTAATTACGGTCTCGTAGTAAAAAGAATCATCGAATTTGGACATCGTATGAGGATTTTAGGGTCGTTTTACTAAGAATTAGGTTGCCAGATTTTTCAGATTAATTATGGAATTGCCACTGACGGCGTAATTAAAAATCTGCACTATTTGCAAATATTAAAACCAACATATCTCCTTCATTATAAGGTCAAATAGAGTGATTCAAAAGCCCAAATTGACTAAAGTTTCACAAGGAATCCATTGGAGGCATAAAAAGTGAGTTTCGGGATTATTTGGCATGAGAAACGAGGCAGAATAGCTGGCAGAAAAATATATAAAACTAGGGTTTGTTCATTCGGTCATATTTTGAGTTGGGGAGCTCGGATTTGGGCGATTTTTCGAGGCAATTTTCATCGTATGGATTGGGGTAAGTGTTCTCTACTCGGTTTTGGTTATATTTCATGAATCCATCTTCGTTTTTGGGATCTGATTAATGATTTCAAAGTGAAATTGAGGGAGTTATGGTTTGAGTTTTGGAGAGTTTTAAGTGAGGATTTAAGGGACCAAACGAAGTCCGATTTTGATAAATTTTATATGGTTAGACTCGGGAGAGGACGAGGTTTATTATTCTGCTATTTTTGACTGATTTCAAGATGTGGACCCGGGGGCTGGGTTTTTGCCGATTTCGGATTTCTGGCATATTTATGTAGTTTTTATTGTGGAATTCGATTCTTTAGACTAGTTGATAGTAGTATTCTGATTATGGATAGATTCAGAGCTTTTGGAGACCGAGTCGAGGGACGAGGACATCCCGGAGTAGGATTTTACGCTGTTGAGGTAAGTAACAGTTTTAACTCTGGCTTTGAGGGTATAAACCCGGAGAGTTTGATATCATGTGATTGTTTGGAGGTGATACCCATGCTAGGTGACGGGCATGTGGGTGTACGCCTTGAGGGATTGAGACTTGGTCCGTCCTGTGAGGCTGTGAGGCCTAATGGCCATTATCTGTGTTTATGCATTTACTTGTTGTTGAACTTGTATGCCTTCATGTTAGGGATCATGCTTAGGCTTTATTCATGCTCACATTAATTATTCTCAGTCATAGAAATTATTGTACATGTTTACCTCCGTCTCTATTATTTGCTAATATGCTGTGATACTTGATGTGCCCCTTATTTGTTGATGATGGTGAGGCTAGTGAGGTATTGATATAATGGCCTGGTTGTGAGGATATTAATACCATAGCGCGTGAGTTGTCCGCGTAGCACGTGAGTTGACCGTGCGGGTCCAGGTATTTATACCATAGCGCCTGAGTTGTCCGCGTAGCACGTGAGTTGACCGTGCAGATCTAGGTATTGATATGGTAGCACGTGAGTTGTCCGTGCTTAGCGCTTGGGCTTTGGGAGCCCCTCCGAAATCTGTACACACCCCCAGTGAGCGCAGAGTGTTGAGTGTATTGAGTGTTGAGTGTTGAGTATTGAGTGCGAGTGATGAGTGATGGAGTGATATTGCTGTGAGGTTGCATTTACTTTTGTTGTTGCTGTATTTATCTGTTAAATTTCTTTGTGGCATTTACTGAGTTATGGAAGTTACCTGTTTATTTCTGTTATTCTTAAATTGTGAAAAATAAATAATTGGACTGTTTTACTTAGCTCGTCACTACTGCTCAGTTCCTTAGTTATTTCTGTTACTACTGAGTTGGTTGTACTCATACTACACCCTGCACTTTATGTGCAGATCCTGGTGAGTTAGAGCGCGGCAATTAATGAGTTCAGGCCGGCTATCTTTGGAGATTGCAAGGTAGCTGCTAGCGTCCGCAGGACCTTGTTATTCCTTTTGTCATTTCTTCTTTTAGACAGTTATATATCTTAGTTCATAGTTTTAGACGCTCATGACTTAGTGACACCCCGATGTTTGGGACTCATTTCCGTATTTTATATTATTTATGTTTAGAGTTGGTTTAGTTTATGAGAAATTTAAATATTGGTATTGTTTTATCAAATTCTAACTATTAATTAGTAGTAATATTTTGGGAAGTAGGCTTGGCTTGTAACACGATAGGCGCCACCACGACCATGGTTAGAGTTTGGGTCGTGACGTTGATCCTATAGGCTAATCAACTTAGGACTTCCCTTTCCCAATTCACATGTGTTTAACTATCTAAATTTATTTTTCTTTACATATATGTGTTTAAACTGTCTAAACCTCTTTACTTTCATATATGTGCATTAGACCATCTAAGCCTCCTTGATCATATTGATCATATATGTATTTAGACTGTGTAAACTACCTTTATTTACAAATCTGTGCTGAGACTTCTTACTTGTTAATTGACTAATTCACATAGTTCGGTCGGGACCCACCGTTGTCGACCGCGAGGGGTGCCTAACACCTTCCCCTCAAGGTTATTTCGAGCCCTTACCCTAATCTCTGGTAATGCAAACTGGTTACATGAGTTAATTGCTCCAGGTGCCCTAACGCACCTTAATCCATTAGGTGGCGACTCTTAAACACCCAATTCTTAAAAGGAAACGAGTTGTTCCCCCATGAATGTCGAAACTCGGACTTCCCCGCGAAGGAAAAAAGGGGCGCGACAAATAGCATTTGATTATTTGGCTTGATATCTCTCGGTTTCTCATCCTGAATGAGTAGTGAGAAGGCTTGTGCAAGATTTGGTAGCGGATTCATCATGAGAATGCTTTCACGTACGACAGTGTAGACTTTATTAAGTCCCATAAGAAACTGTATCAATCTCCTGTCCTGCTCGGCTTTGTGCATATTCTCCTTGGCACCACACATACAAGTACGGGTGCAATGAGTCTTTTTGCTCAAAGTATTCAGCTCTTCCCACAACTTTTTCAGCTTAGTATAATAGCATGTAATGCCCAGCACAACTTGAGGCAGGTCGTTTATCTCTTTTTGGATTTTGTATAGCCTAGCACCATTAGTCTGGTTATATCGATCCTCCAATTCTCTCCACAACTCAACAGCATTATTCGTATATTCCACACTGTCCGCAATGTCTTTGGAGAGTGAATTTAGAATCCAAGACGTTACCATATCATCGCATCGCTCCCACTGTCGGAATCTCTAAGATTGAGGATATGGTGATTTACATTCTCCACTTATAAACCCTAGCTTGTTTTTGACGGACAGACCACGCATAACACTGCGTCTCCAAGACCTATATCCAATTCCACTGAAAGGAACTGAGACGAGCATCGCTCTAGGATTGTCTGACGGATGCAGATAAAGAGGATCGCTTGGATTTATTCCAATGTTTGTCGCAGCGGCGACACCAGTATCACCAACAGATGTGTCTTCCTGATCTATTATGGCCATGAGTGTATTGAGTTTGTTGTGTTACACACTAATTCCAGCAGAAATTTGAAGAATTGACTGTCAATTTGCGATTCGAAGAAATTAGGGCAAATATCGATCGGACTAGAAAGGCAGAATTATAGGAAGGAAAAAAATAGGGAAAATTGAGAGAGACGATGACGGATAGTCGAGTATGAGCTTCCCTTACTCTGACACCATGTTAAATCTGACCTTGAAGACGAGCTTGAAGCTCGATCTGGAGCTCCAATGGACTCCTTCTGGAGAATTCTATGAGAGAGAGTTTGTGAGAGATGAAAGATGAATTGAAAAGTGGAAAGCTCACTTTCTTTCTCATTACTGTACTGTCATGACCCGGATTTCCCACCCTCGAGAGTTGTGATGCGCCTACTAGTGAAAGCTAGGAAAGCCAACTAACTGAACTATTTGACCTGTTTTCTATTTTTATTTTATTTAATGACTTAGCTTCAACAGTTTATAGCAACATGATTTAAAAAGCGGAAGAAATAAATTTCAAACTTAACAATACTGATACTACCATCCCAAACAAAACCACCCAAGATTTGGTGTCACAATTTCACAGACTGTCTAAGAATACTACAAATAAGGGTCTGAAAGAAATAACAAATACTGTCTCAAGAACTACATAAGAGAAGCAGGAAAATAGATGGAGGGTGACGGCAAGGCTTGCGGACGCCTGCAGGACTACCTCGGGTCGCCTGGTAAGTAGGAAGCTGAAACCTCACTGCGGTCTGAAATCTGCAGCACTGGGACCTGTACAAAATAGTGCAGAGTGTAGTATCAGCACAATCGACCCCATGTGCTGGTAGGTGCCTAGCCTAACCTCGGCAAAGTAGTGACGAGGCTAGGACCAGACTACCAAATAAACCTGTGCAGTTATATAATATACAGCGGAAAATGAAACAAGAATAAACAAGTAAAGATGGGAGGGGGTACATGCTGCGGGGTATATCAATATCAACAGTAAGTCAAGAATAAAGGCATAAGGACAACTTAGAATTCACAGTGAAACAATAAGGAACTTGTATCCAATCCATAAACACTTGGTATCAACAATTGTTGCAGCACGCAACCCGATCCCAACATGTGACAACACTGCTGCGGCGTGCAGCCCGATCCATATCATTTATCACTGTTGCGGCGTGCAACCCGATCCGATCATATTATTGTTGCGGCGTGCAACCCGACCCAAATATATCATTGTTGCGGCGTGCAACCCGATCCAAATATATCATTGTTGCAGCGTGCAACCCGATCCAAATATATCATTGTTGCGGCGTGCAACCCGATCCACATATACAATCAACAACAATGATAACAAGAGTCCCAGTAAGGGATCAATAAGGAACTACACTATCCCGGCAAGGGAATCGACAGTATAGGTAACTATGCCCCAGCAAGGGGGAAACAACTATAACCAAACTTGTTCCAACATCTAACTGCCTCAGCTGACACCAGTACTCAGTCATAAGAAATCACAAGAAATAAGGGTAATGATATAAATGAAATCACGGTAAGGAACAAAGGTACAACAATCAAATCCCAGCGAGGGAACAATATCAAAACATCAACATCCCGGCCAGGGAGACAATATAATAACCCTCTTCTCTTTTCCTTTCCACATTTACTTCACAACTCACTTCACAATTGAGCCAATGCTCTTTAAGGTTCAACTGCCAATCATACGTCTCCAGTTCATTTTACAACTTGAGCCAACGCTCTTTACTATTCAAATACCAATATTACTTCCACAAGCCTTGCTCAACAATAGAGATCATCACATAAGGCATGAACAATACAAACGGAGTCACATTAATCATAGTATAAGACCCACGGCCATGCTTGACACCAACGTATAGATACTCGTCACCATGCCTATACGTCGTACTAAACAAATAACACATAGCAAATAGGACACAACTCCTAATCCCTCAAGCTAAGGTTAGACCAAGCACTTACCTCGATGCCACGAACACAGTTCAAGCCTCAACTATAGCTTTACCTCGTGATTCCACCACCAATTCGCTCGTATCTACTCACAAGTTACTAAATTATATCAATGAATGCTAAATAAACAATTTCTAATGCATGAAAATAAGGTTTCTAAAGCTTTTCCCAAAAAGTCAAAAATCAGCCCCGGGCCCATATGGTACAAACCCGAGGTTCGAACCAAAACCCGACTACCCATTCACCTATGAACTCAAATATATAATTTGCTTTGAAATCGGACCTCAAATCGAGGTCCAAATCCTCTTTTTTTTGAAAACCTAGGTTCTACCCAAAACACCCAATTTTCCCCATGAAAATCATTGATTTTTAGTTGATAACATGTTAAAAGATGTTAATTATTGAAGGAAACCAGTAAAAAATTGACTTAAAATCGATTTGGAAGAAGAGTTGTTCTTGGAAAATCGCCCTAGGGAGTTTTTGTTTTGAATAGATGTGAAAAAGGGTTGTTTTTCGGCTAAGTATAAAAAGTTGCAGGCTGCAGTTATGGGAATTGCGAAGGGAGGTTGGGAAATGCGAACTGGGAATTGCAAAGGGAGGTTGGGAAATGCGAACTGGGAATTGCGAAGGGAGGTTGGGAAATGCGAACTGGGATTGAGAAGGGAGGTTGGGAAATGCGAGCTGGGAATTGCGAAGGGAGGTTGGCAAATGCGAAGCCTGCAGGCCTGCAATTCCTTAAGTCCAAAATTTCACCCCGTGGCCTATCCAAAACTCACCCGAGCCCTCGGGGCTCCAAACCAAACATGCACACCACCCTAAAAACATCATACGGACTCGCTCGTGCATCAAATCACTAAAATAACATCAACAACTATGAATTTAGCATCAAAATCATGAAACTTTCTCAAGATTTCAAATTTCCAATTTTGTCAGTATCTATCCGATTCACGTCGTTTCAAGTTCGTTTCTTACCAAAATTTACCGACAACACACATAAATCATATTGAACTTGTACCGGGCTCCGGAACCATAATACGAGCCCGATACCACAGGTTTCACACAACATTTCACTTTTAAAAACCTTTATATTTTTCAGAAAACAATTTCTTTCAAAAATTCATTTCTCGGGCTTGGGACCTCGGAATTCAATTCTGGGCATACGCCGAAGTCCCATATTTTCCTACGGACCCTCTGGGACCGTCAAATCACGGGTCCGGGTCCGTATACCCAAAATGTTGACCGAAGTCAACTTAATTCATTTTAAAGCCAAATTTTATCATTTTTCACAGATTTTCACATATAGACTTCCTGCTACATGCCCGGACTACGCACGCAAATCGAAATGATGCTGAAAGAGGTTTTTAAGGCCTCGAAACATAGAATTTAATTTAAAAACAAGTGATGACCCTTTCGGGTCATCACATCCTCCACCTCTAAAACAACCGTTCGTCCTCGAACGGACATAAGAAGGAAGTACCTGAGTCAGGGATAAAATGGGGATAACGGCTCCGCATATCTGACTCGAACTCCCAGGTCGATGCCTCAGCAGGCTGACCTTTCCGCTGAACACAAACAGAAGGAAAACTCTTTGATCTCAACTGACGAACCTGCCGGTCTAGAATAGCTACCGGCTCCTCCTCATAGGACAAATCCTTTTCCAATTGGACAGTTCTGAAATCTAACACGTGGGATGGATCGCCGTGATACTTCCGAAGCATGGACACGTGAAACACTGGATGCACGGTTGATAAGCTCGGCGGCAATGCAAGTCTATAAGCCACCTTTCCCACTCGATCAAGAATCTCAAACGGGCTAATGAACCTAGGTTTAAGCATGCCCATCTTCCCGAATCTCATCACGCCCTTCATAGGTGACACTCGAAGCAATACCCGCTCACCGACCATGAAAGCCAAATCTCGAACCTTGCGGTCGGCATAGCTCTTTTTCCTGGACTGAGCTGTACAAAGCCTATCCTGAATGATCCTGACCTTGTCCAAGGCATCCTGTACTAGATCCGTACCCAACAACAGAGCCTCTCCCGGCTCAAACCATCCAACCGGCGACCGACACCGCCTACCATATAGAGCCTCATAAGGAGCCATCTGAATACTCGACTGATAGCTGTTATTGTAGGCAAACTCTGCTAAAGGCAAGAACTGATCCCATGCCTCCAAAGTCAATGACACAAGCTCGGAGCATATCTCCAAAATCTGAATAGTCCGCTCGGACTGCCCGTCCGTTTGAGGATGAAACGCTGTGCTCAACTCAACCTGCGTGCCCAACTCTCGCTGAACTGCTTTCCAGAAATGTGAGGTAAACTACGTACCTCGATCCGAAATGATAGACACGGGCACACCATGAAGTCGAACAATCTCCCTGATATAAATCTCAGCTAATCTCTCGGAAGAATAGGATATTGCCACAAGAATGAAATGTGCTGACTTGGTCAACCTATCCACAATAACCCACACTGCATCGAACTTCTTCTGAGTCCGTGGGAGTCCAACAACAAAGTCCATAGTGATACGCTCCCACTTCCACTCAGGAATCTCAATCTTCTGGAACACACCGCTAGACCTCTGATGCTCGTACTTAACCTGCTGACAATTCAAACATCGAGCCACATACACAACAATGTCCTTCTTAATTCTCCTCCACCAGTAATGCTGTCGTAAGTCCTGATACATTTTGGAGGCGCCCGGATGAATAGAGTACCGGGAACTATGGACCTCCTCTAGAATCAACTCCCGAAG